ATACACGCGGGCAGGGACGCGCGATAAATCTGGTAAAATTCAATTCAAATTCATTTATTACCAAAAAGAAAAGTACAAAATATGTGATACATTGCCGGTGGCCCCACACTAGGCAAGCCTGTCCTGTGGGTGCCAGTTGCGATTACACATTTCGCTATAGGTACATTGTTGTTTGGTAGACATTACATCGTCGTTTTCAATTTAAGGTATACAGTGTTACTTGCTTATATTTGAGACAGCAATCTATTTCCTCCGAGTATGCGTTTGGAAGAAAACAATTGCCGTCCCAAACGAGTTGGCAACAAAAAAAGGGATAAAAAAATATGAAAAATGATTAAAAATGAAAAACAATAATATTGGCAAAACAGCGTTGGTAAATACATGCATGAGGTTATTTTATAGATATTAATATTGTAAAGATAAAAATAACTAAATGTGTGTGTCTATATTGGTTTAGGGTACTTTATATGTTATGTGTTATATAATAAATTATTCTCAAAGAATAATGCGCAACATTTATGCCACGTGTGCCAACAGACCTTCTAAAATATTCGTAAATGTCATGTCATGGAAATATGAATTTCATGACGTAATGCTTTTTGAAGGTTCAAGGTGACAATAATTAGCATAGATATGAAAACTGGTGTGTATATTAAGAACACCATTATAAAGGATATGTGTAAAATCATCTTCGTTCCACGTTTAAAGGGCACAGAAAAGTTTCATCCAAGAAAAGTTTCAAGGGTACAGTTTTGTTCGGTGTTTTCATATGACGGTTTTGTTATAAAATAGCAGAGACAAAAGTTATAGACACTCGTAGAGTGGGAAAAAATGTACATGTCACAGATGACTTCGAAATGTTTAATTGTCAATATCTCGACAGGTATACAGTGCCACCAACTTATCTGTTCAGTAGACAAAATCGGAACTAAATCTGCGTCAATCTGCGTGTCAGTTTACAAGGTGTGGGTGCTCTCTGTGTTTATCATTTGATTTTATTATTAAAACTACAATTAAAATGCCGAATGCTCTTAAAAGTGATGCTAGAGTTATTATTTTAAAAGTTTTATCTTTTATGAACGAAGAAAAACGCCTCCAATCTCCAAAAATACCATTTGAAAAAGTGCCACAACGTGTTGCTGCCGCTACAGGTTAGTGTTATAGTCTAAGGACAGTAAAATTTCCCACTTAAATTATTTTAATATTCAGCTTATGTTTCATATTTTATTGTCTATATATATCCACTGAAAATTAGAAATAAAACTGATACGTCGCCTCCACTACTACCAACTAGTGCACCATTTTACTATTCTTTATTTTCATAAACGGTAAACGTATACCTACATTGTGTTCACTGTTTATTCCACCCGAATAAATAAAATAAAAAACATTATTTCTTAAGTTTGATGAGCCACTTTTTGTTACAGGTGTTAGTGAGCGATTTGTTTATAAATTAATGAATGAAGAAAAACGAGCTGAAGAAACTAATACTAAAATATGTACACCTGGTAAAAACAGGGAAACTAGAAGTTGATGACTTTGATATTGGTGTGATTAGGAGAAAAACCCATGAATTTTATTCAGTAAAAAAAGAAATTCCTTCTGTAACCAAGCTATTGAACATTTTAAGAGAAGATATCAATTTCCAGGGGAAACTGATATCATGACCACAATTATTTTTATGAAATATAATGTAACTAGTTTGGTATAATAAATCGTATTATCTGTTTGCAAAACAAAATATTTCTTTCTTTTCAACTAATTTATAAATTATATAGTTATGATATTTAAACATTAATTAATAAACTCCGATCAATATTTAAATTACAGCTCACGTGATTTCGTATGTTTCAAATACCCTAAACTCCTGATAATTTTTTTAAATAGCAACACCTATCGCTCCAGTAGCGACGCCGTCTACTGAACAGATAAGTTGGTGGCACTATACGTTTTAATGTATGAATTCTTAGAAAAGAAGAAATAACAATAAAAATAACTCAAAACATTTTGGAATAGTCCCTCTGATACCAAATTAGTCAGAGCCTATAGCAAAACTGCTGATAAACATTATAAACTTATCACATAAATATGATAGACTAGCTGGTTCACATGGAATTTGAAAAGCGCTGACTTAGTGGGTTCGATTCCCGGATGGGGCAAAATTTCAAAGGGTTTTTCTGAGAGGAAAAATAGCCTAAGTTACTTCTTATATAGACAGCTACCTGTTAGTAAAATAATATCAAAATCGGTCCAGTCGTTAAGAAGATTACCCGGAACAAACAGACAGACAGACAAAAATATTTTAAACGGTTTTTAGGTATCGTGAACCAAAAGATACTACCGTATTTTTAGGTATGAAAAAGCCGTTAATCCTGAGGATTCGGATTAGGAAAATCGGACAAATTCATCAAATTATCGTACTGTCATCGGTCCTTGATAAGTGTGGGAAGTTTGAACTCAATCCGACATTTCAAAGTGGGTGAAATCACAAACCTAGCTAATAAAAGCGTGTTAAAAAATGAAAGACAATTTTAAATTCATAGATTATTGCGTGATTTAAATTATTCACCTCTCCTGTTTTATAATAAAACTTATCACTTGGCTGAAATATGCAAAGAACCCATTAAACTAACAAAAAGGTAACACTCCAGAGGGTTATGAGCACAACGGTACGCCTCACGGTACGCTGACTCCAAATAATAAAGATGGCGTATATCAACGCATGTCGTATCTCTGTCGTATTTTCTAGAGCATTCGACACAGAAAGTGCTAGCATCTAAAGAAATGTGTACATCAAATATTACTGAAAACAGACTACTTCAAAAGATCAGCAAAAAAATCAGTGTTCTGGAAACTTAGTATTTCTAACGCTGTTACGATACAGAAAAAGGCAGGTAAGCTTGATATTCAAGTGTGCTTTTTGACATCTTAAGGGTGTAAAAATATAAAAAAAAATAGAGAAAATTAATAAGATATGCCACTCTGTATCTATATCCAACAATCAATAGTGACAGATTACGAAGTAACGATTAGAATGTATGTTATTTGCATAATTATACTCAAGTCCCTGTTCATCCCGTGGGTGTCGTAAGAGCCGACTAAGGGAGCAAACTACACAGAACAACAGCACCACAAAGAGAATGAAAACTTGAAACAAACCCTATACTAACGTCTGGTCAGTGTGGTATGGTCATCATCAACAGCCTTTAATAGTCCACTGCTGGACATAAGCCTCTCCTTAGAAAGGAGGTTTTGGCCTACTATACCACGCATGCCAGACGGGTTGGTATAGGGTTTGTGTCAAGTTTTCCTTCTCTCTGTCCTGCGTAGTTTTTTCCCTTAGTCGGCTCTTACGACACCCACGGGATGAATAGGGGTGGTGACACTCTGTATTCTTAATCCGTCACCACACGGACAATGTGGTATGATAAAACCTCCTTTCTAAAGAGAGGACTATGTCCTGCAGTGGACTACTAAAGGCTGATGACTCAACCTTATATCCACAAAAGGGTAAGTAGAAGCGCATCCGACATTTTGACTATTGAAGACCTAATTTCATTTTACACTGAAAACTAAACAAATCTTTTAGTTGCTGTATATGATGGGTAACAAAATCTGTCATCTCACCCACCATCTGACAGCTCACTCTAGCACAGAACCCGCTCATTGGTCTACTTAATCAGTACGCCTTCCTCAAATTACTGTCTTCTTCTTCCCCACCCCTAAATTCCGTGCGCCCAAGCTATGGCATTGTCCGTTGCTCTGATTACTGTCACATTCTGCAGTCGTTTTTCACAAAATCTTTCCAACAGATTCAGGAGAGCGAGAGGGAACATGTAACATATAAATAAATAAGATAGTTATCTGTGAAAACAACGTAATCTTAATGAAGAGAGGAAGTCTTCGGGGACTACAAAGACACCTTAATTATATTGCCTAGATTATATAGACCTTAGAGATAAATGCGTTAGATTGACCAACAAATAATTGAAAGACTTAACAATTACCTATTTCATTTAGCATTAATTTGTTCTATGTTACCTTCCCTTGGGGTTCCCAATTTCTTCGAGGTCAGTATAATTAACCAGAATTTTGATGTTTGATTTTTCAAGATTGAAAGAAAGTATAAAAAATTGTCTGCTTTATTGTGCATGCTGTGGTCTCCTGTAAGTGAAGGAATGACTTAATAAACCTTTAGTCAATTATTGTCTTTAATTATGTATATCTTTCGTTGGACAGCTTAATAAATAAACTATGAATTAGGTCGTCGTGTGCCATTACGTCGAGTGTTTTGCAGTTCCGAACCGAACAGTTTGCGACTAGTAAGTCAAAGAGAGACGTCAACTTAACAGTAAAATTGCTGATAGTAACCTGTCAAGTTACAGGGTCGCATACCTAGAACTTACACTTTAAAATCTATATATTAAGTCCAAACAAAATTCCTTTCTCTCATTGCCTACTCTTCACACTCATCAGCAGCCTTTAACAGTCCACTGCTGGACATAATCCTCTCCTCAGAAAGGAGGTTTGGGCCTACTATACCACGCTGGCCAGACGGGTTGGTATAGGGTTTGTGTCAAGTTTTCCTTCTCTCCACAGTGCTGTTGTTCTGCGTAGTTTTTTCGCTTAGTCGGCTCTTACGACACCCACGGGATGAATAGGGGTGGTGACACTCTGTATTGTACGTTTCACTCTCAAAAACTTAAAATTTCTAAGTGCACGATTCGCGGCAATGAGCTTGCCCCTATGATCGTGAGTCGGAAATTGTGTGTTTATACGCCACTCTCTCTGACACACTTAATATATTTAATGTAGCAGTCATAAACAGTTGCCCTAATTATTACGCTACTGCCACTTATAAGATTAACCACTAATAATCAGGAGTATTATAAGTACAATTTAATCAAAATACGTAAGTACTTTTGTTATCTTTCAATTGTGGTCGGAACACAGCGGTTGACGGCGGCGTTTTAACCTAAAACTTCTAAAACAATAAAGTGATGAAATTCATTGACGAAACTATGGGAAAACGAGACGAGGATTCTGCAGCAAGTTCTTTTGCATCTGTGGATAGTTATGAGTGAGTAATTTATTTGACTTTAAGTTAAGCCTTTTAAATTTGATTTTTAAATCCGAAGTTCATCTAAACATCAATATATATAAAAAATTCAAAAACTCAAAAAATACTGCAGCGATTAAGCTCAAAGTTTGACACGATATAGAACACGTTTTAAAAGTTGGTTTTTATCTTCTTTTTTTTTTGCGACCACGATGTACCACAGCAAAGCATGGCAGGGTACACCTAGTATATAATATAAATGTTAAGTTGGTTTGTGTAGGCTTCAAAAACTTAAAAACTTCGGCACTGATTGAACTCAAATTTTGACACGATAAACAAACGTCTGGTAAGCGTGGTATAGTAGGTCAAAACCTCCTTTCTAAGGAGAGGCCTATGTAAAGCAGTGAACTGTTATAGGCTGTTGATGTGAAACAAACCGCTTTAAAGATTGTTTTTCTCCATTTTCCGCGTCAGTTTTGTTTCTTATTTCTAATTAACGCAAACACAATGTGAAACAATAAAGTGTGACAGGGTGCAGCTAGTCTTTATAAACTACTACTTATTGCTTTAATAGTGTAAAAGAAAATTGCCTTTTACATCTCTTAGAGATAACTGACAAATCTTCAGCAGTGGGATAGTTTATTAACATGTTAGAAGTCGTTTGCTTAATGTCTGACTTACTCGTACACCTGCTGCTTGGACGTGTATCTATTTTGATTCCCGTGTGTTGTGTTAATCAAAGGTGCATAATCTCTGTAGTGTGGTGACGGATTAAGAGATCCGTGTGGTGATGGGTTAAGAATACGGAGTGTCACCACCCCTATTTATCTCGTGGGTGTTCTAAGAGCCGACTAAGGGAGAAAACTGTGCAAAACAGCACTGCAAAAAGAAGGAAAATTTGAAACAAAACCCTATACCAATCCGTCCGGCCAGCGTGGTATAGTAGGCCAAAACCTCAATTTTAAGGAGAGGCCTATGTCCAGCAGTGGACTGTTAAGGGCTGTTGATATAATCTCTGTGGGGTTAGACTAGAATTGTGCATGAACGGATGCCTCAGTAGCTAAAGCATAAGTTTACATGTATTTTATTACTGAAGAGTTTCTTTGCAGTTTATGTAAGTTAATTATGTTAAATTCTTGATGTTTCATAAACTGAACGCTTTTTAGATAAATTTCAATTTATACCTCGTGCCTGTATATATGCGTCATCTAAACTTACAAAAAGTATTTTTTTATTTATGAAACAATGAACCATGGTGATGTGTATTAGTTATTTCTTTATTTTTTACGCTACAATGGACCGTGGACTAGACGTTACGAGATGATATAATTTATCTATAAAATGTCTGTATTTAGTAATATATAAGTATGTTTCTAAGCAGTCTGTTTACCACAGTACATCCTCTACCTGATTTAGGATTAATAGATCGAGTGTGTGGTGTCCCATGTTATTTTTATGATCAAGTCTTTTATTTTCACCTTGACTCTTAGGTTAGTTTGACAGAAGGGACCTAATAATAAGCTGAATTATTTATTACAATAATACTATTATTAATGGAACAGAGTTTTAACTTATGCTAATATAATAATAGATTGTGACGTCATTACCGATCATTGGTGGGCTTGGTTGACAGTTCTGACACTGAACTGTCGTAGTACGGCTTTGGCTTGGCATGGCACAGCTTGGCAATGTATTTGGCGTTACACTAGTTTATTATAACCACAATTTATGTACAAAAATTGACAATATATTATATGCGATTTGTCGTTTGATTTGTTTTCATTCGCAAATATTTTCGAACTATTTTACATTTGATTAATATTGCAGTTGTTTTAAGGGTCCTTTTGGACGTTCTAGTGTCTTCATCTTTCAGTTATTTTGTTGCTTGTCTTCTGTACCCTGTGTTGCCAACTATAATATTATCTTTTAGGTATGAAATATCTTTTCCTTCAACTACGGGTATTCACCTGTTTTAACGTCGAGTCTGACGCTGTTTATTGGGTTCCACTCTTTGGTTTCTCTGCTTGCGTAGACGCGGGTGGAAAGGCAGTAACCTTACAATTTGAGGTGACTTAAAGTTATCAAGGGACGGGTAAACAATTTACGCGTCCATTCATAACTTTCAGTCAGAGGGCAGAGAACTATTGTTAGTTATAGACCTTTCTAGAAGGTATATAAAATATAGTGTTAACATAATGTGGTTCTACAATATTGACTGTTTTGCCTGTCAGTGTCCTACTATCATCAGTGACTTTGCCTATCAATTCTTGGTCGATGGGAGCTCGCATGGTTAACTGCACACCAATGACAGTTCGTATATTCCAACACCTGGGTGTCCCAATGACCCGTGACAATCCCAGGTTTGTCATTGGGCAGTGGTCCTATGCCTTCTCTTTCAACACCCGTTTTGGAACCCATAATAGTTATTTGTCATCAGTGTGGTGACGGATTAAGAACACGGCATGTCACCCACGGGATGAATAGGGGACTATTCATTCCGTGGGTGTCGTTAGAGCCGACTAAGGGAGCAAACTACGCAGGACAACAGCACTGGAAAGAGAAGGAAAACTTGACACAAACTCTATACCAACCCGTCTGGCCACCGTGGGCTTTCCAAGGAGCGGCCTATGTCCAGCCGTGGACATTTAGAGGCTGTTTATGTGTGTGTCTGCCAACCGCGTCATAAGAGGGTCAATCGAGATTAGTAGATTTTAACATTGAATCTTATGTAATCTTTATTAAATAACGTGTACGTAAACAATAATAAGCCTTGTTATTGCAACACGTTCAGTAAATAACAGCACAATAGTAACATCGCCAAGTTCTACTGTACCGAGTTAGTTTGATTCGAGTTGTGTTCGATCAACAAACCGATTAAGGTTTCGTCTTGCGTCCAAATGCCTTAATGGCCCTTTTTCCTTAAAGGTCCATTATCATTAAAAATATATTCAATGTTGCGATTCGACACCTTAACAGAAAAAGATTTCTTATAGATTGACTGATAGAATACTTAAATACTTTTTTTGTAAATACATACATATTATAACCAGAAAACACCCAAATTTCGAAACAAATATTAGAAAACATACAAACTTTAAAAAAAACTGTAAAGTACAACAACATATATATAACATGTGACTCACATAGACAATAATAATAAAAAAACAGTGAAACTCCGGGAGTGCTGACAGTAGTGAAAACTTATATACTGAGGTGTCGGTAATGGTAACGATAACAGTGTCGCGAGTTTTTTCCCATATTAAAAAAATGAGTTCTTTGTTAAGCCATAAAATACATTCCTTTATTTGTTGTTCAAAAATTCCAAAAGCGTCTTAAGAAGTTTTCACTTCAAAAAAACACAAATTTGGAAGAAACATTTTAATGAAACGTAAACCATTTGTTATCAGTATCCTGGCAAACATCATTATTAATATTATATTATTTACTACGAATGATGAAACATCGATAAAAGTAACGTCACTCTTGACCCCGAACAATGTATCAATACATAAATGAACTATCAATAAATCAAGATCGATATATTAAGATACCATTACGACGCAAATTAAAGTTAGGTACAATTTTTAAACAAAACAACGATAAAAGTTCTACACCATTTAGTGTAACTTCGATTGACGGGATCTAAGCGGTCCTCGCGTCGCTACCTACTGCGCTAAGTGTTGTGGGTTCAATCCTGTGTTCATACAACATGGGATAACACTTTGTTTGATCCACAAATTATTGTTCTGAGTTTGATTTTGAACACCCATCAATCAAAGACGAAGTCAAAATATTCTTATTTCATTAAAAAAATTAATAATTATGTGACAACGTCTTTTATGTAGAATCTAAAGTCACGGCACAATAGTAACAATCTATTTTGTCAAATAATTTACGAAATGAATCCAATCCATTATTATTTATGCCTGTGCCGATCTACAATAAACCTGACACAAACTTTTTTTTACGTGTGGAAACACCCGTCACCCCACCGGGGTGTGCGGCAGGGTGGTGTGTTGGAAACAGACCGACTAAAACCACACGGTGTGCCACTCTGCGCCTGTAATAGGAGGGCTCCAAGCTGTTGAGGAAAACCTCGAAGTCGCTAAAATTGCGGTTGGGGGAGAAGTATACTATATAGTGATGCCCCCCCACTTGGCAACAACATATCCAGTGACCTTGTCTCTTAGCGACAAGGGCGGGGAATGAGCCGCCGTAGAGCCGACGACTGCCACGGAGTCCGATCACCGAACCAGTTTGGACGGGGAAGAACGTTATAAAGTTCCGCGGCTACGGCCATTGACACAAACCCTACATATATCAACCCGTCTGGCCAGCGTAGTATCAAGCGTAGGCTCAAACCTCCTATCTAAAGAGAGGTCTATGGCCATCAGTGAACTAATAAAGGCTGTTGATGAAGATGATGAGACTTTTTTTTTTAAAAAAAGACAACTCCCGCATTAGGAATAAATCCTATGTCGCGGGGGACTTTATAAACATACATGAAACGGACACAAAGAACACCCAGACTCAGAACAACAATTTGTGGATCACACAAAGTGTCGTCCCATGTGGGGTTTGAACCCACAACACTCGGGGTAGTAGGAAGCGGCGTGGCGACCCCTCAACCACTACGCCATTCGTGCAGTCAGCAGTGCAGTGCAGCATTAGAAGTAGTTGCAAATTTACTTCCAAAATTATTTTAGTTACATGTGGCGTTAAGAAAGTGCATTATTCGTTCTTGTCAGTTACGAACAATTTCTCTGGCAAAAGCGTTATCAAACTATACATTACGTTTCAAAGGTCAATGTATGTATAAATCAAAATGAACGTATCGCAAGAGATCAAGGGAGATCAAACAGAGCCCGCAGACAACCTTGGCGAATAATCACTCTGATACCTGACGCTTGAAGTTTATAAAATTAATTAAAATCATTTTATTACTGTACGTAAAGTCTGTCAATATTTACTTCTAAAGTATCTTTCTCTTCGAACTGAAACTCCCAAATCCTACTCTAGTG